TCTCTCTCTCTCTCTCTTTCTCTTCGCTTTCGATTCGCTCTGTCCGTTTCATCCCCCAGACCTTCACCCGCTATCCGCTTGATTTTTAGAGTCTACTTTAGCCTGCGAAATTCGAACAATTAAACTTCGTCTAAACAGCACCAATAGTTCCGCGCGCTCGATTCGTACAGCCTTAAGAGGGTCGCTAAACCACCCGCCAGCGGTTCGTTGCGGTAAACACATTCGGGGGGTTCCGCCGTGGACAGAGGAGTTCGACGAAGTCGCGCGCGAACGAGCGGAAACTGGCGTTCGCTTCTCCGCGGCGTGGAACTCGTGCCAAGGGGGTTCAGCGACGTTCGTTTTAGGAAATTGCGGCGTAGCGTCGCCTTAGACGTATGATCGAACCAGGGAAAGGATTGACTCGAGAAATCTCTCACTCGATGTGATCATTGCGGAAGATTTTCCGCTGTGAACACTTGGAACTTCGAATACCTAGCGACACGATAGTCTTTTGGCAATTCATTTCTGGATAACCTAACAATAATACTGTGGCAGATACACTTTAATTTTGAATTATGAATTCATTTGTATTGCGAGTGTCGAAATTGTAAATTATTGTGCAGTTACAACACGGCGGAGTTGTAAGGGTAAACTGAGCAGTGTTGCAAACGTGTCCACCATTTTACACCGCTTACCGAGTCAATTCTTTCCTCGGTCCGAGCAGTATTGCTGAGAATTTTCACGAGTTTCTAGATTTACACAGAGTTTCCCGCCGTTCAAACGGAAGTTCACTACGTTCGGGTAATAGTCCCGGTCGCGAATACTCGAGGATCCAATAACGAGCGAACCGTCGAACGTTTTCAGTGCGGTAGCGATGGTGTTGACAGAGAAGACGTTCGCGTCGTTAAATAAATTTGGCAACGCTCTCGCGACTCGGTCAGCAAGCCGGTGCTTACTTCGTTTGTCATTTGGTATCGTAAGCTGTTTGTGCATTGATACCGTTTAAATTATTCATGGGGTTCAGGATGTTATGGGCGCTGGTGCTCGCCGGCGCGGGATACCCATTGTGGTTGTGGGTCGCCTCTCCGTTTGCGTGTCTCTGCGGGCTTCCCGTGGATATGGTCTGAAAGATGAAAGTATCACCGGGTTAAAATTTATTCAACAATTAATACTCCGTCGCCGGGAAGCCTCATAACCTATTTGCATCTGAAGGGACTGCACGCGTTCGTATCGTATGGATTATTGTCTTGCCTCGCTCTCGTTAGACGTAGGAATTTCGAAACGTTCCTCGATCCGTTGTATTACATTTGATATTGAACCGAAGGAACAAAAACGTTCAGTGACATAAATACATACGTTCTTCAAATTTCCCACTGATGCAAATATGTTAATAAACTTCTCGATGACTCTACAATGTACAAAAGTAACTTAATAATATCCTATACAATAATTTCAAGAGAAGATATTTAACTTTAGATAACATTTTCGTTCATAATCGCAACTTTGCCTACACTTGTATGAACAAAACTTGGTATTATTCTTCCAACAATCACAGCAGGGTTCATAACACGGCAGAAACCGACTGAACAATACGAAACGAAATCATCGAATCCAAAGGAAATTCTTTCCTCGCGAATAATTCCAAGATCGTCTTAATCGTCGTTAAATCTACGGCAGCGAGGAGATACGAAGCTACCCAGCGGTCCCATAATTACATCCGCAATCAATCGACCAGGCAGCGGCTTAATCTGATTCGAACAATTATTCACGACGGAGGCTTAAAACTCGGAAGAGGGAAACGAAAGGGGTTGATGCCACTAACGAATTCGTTTTAGACGCAGTGCTCTTGTTCTCGCGCGGTCCCCGCCCACCCCGATTTCGTAGTCCACGGTTCTACTCGAAAAACAAAAGGCCAGAAGAACGAACTTGTATCTCAACTCGGCCCGAGCGACTCAACTTGGGCGTTTCCTCCCTGTCTCGCCGCTCCGTTCCCTCTCGATAACCTCTCTCTTTCGTTCCCTTTCTTTCTCGCCGACGTTTGTCTCGGTCTTTGCTCGTTCCTATCTGCGAACCATATTCACAGGAACGAGGGAGGGGGAAGCGGGAGAGAAAGAGAGCCCTCGCGGGATACGACAGAGTGTACCGCGGGGAGCGCGAGATGCTAGGATAGGTAAGTGCCGTTGAAAACTTTAAACTTCGTATCTCTAGCTACGCTGTTCCCTTCACCATCAGTTTCTCTTAGTTTCCGCCGGCGAAGGTGTTAAATTATACAGGCTTAAAATTCGACAGACCGTGCGGCTCCGAGCCCTCTTTCCATCCATCGGGATCCCCTCTTCGCCGCGATTCCACCTACCCCGACTTGATCATCCTAACTTTCGCGGGACGAACGCACCTCTCCCGTTTTCATGATTTCCTTCGCATCACGCGCATCTCTGAACGATAGCGTTAGTCTGCCAGCTACTCCGCTGTTGCGTTACTCGAGGAAAAGAAGGCAAAGACGAATGCCCGGCATAATTCTCGGCGGGAGGGTTGATTAATATTACAGCCGCCGTTCAGGAGTGCAAAAGTAACGGGCGGGACTCGCGGCGCGACGGGCCGAGTAATTAACCCGTAAATAATTACGATAAAAATGACAAAGCGACGTTAAAAGAAATGCTTTATCACCGTGGCAAGGGCGGCTTTCCACTCGGGAAGGATTTCTAAATTTTCTTGCGGCACCGAGAACCCTTTTCAGTCTACGGTGAACCTCCGTCCTCTTTTTCTGCCCGATGTAACGCCCTTCGGTTTCATCTCTATCACTCGCCCCTTCTGTATCTCTGTTCCTCTCTGTCTTCCCCGTTCCTTCCCCACGGCCTTGCCCGGTCCCCGCACGTAATTAAGAAATCTCCGTGGAAGACTCCGGACCCGTCGCTGGTCGGTACCGCGGGTTAAATTAAGTCTATGACTTATTCAAGTTTTATCTACAATTGCCAGAGGAGGAATTACTGTCCCGTGGATTTACTGCCGTCTTTGTAATCAAACGGCACGCGCTTCGCAATTCGGCAGGCATTCCTACGGGATGTACTGCACAGTTGTCTGGGTACTTTTTCTGGAACGAGGATTCTTAAGTATAATATACTTCAATTGTTTCACAATAAGGAATGGTACTCTACAGTCTCTACGTACTGCAAGCTGATAGTACCAACTAGATTTGAAACAAAGGAAGAGTTGTATAGAAATTAGCCTCATATTAGTGAATCAAAGTATTCCGAATGCTAAGAAAACCTAGTCTTTACAAATTTCTATGATTGAATGTTTCTAGCTTCAAAGATGGTAACTCAGATAGGCACGTCCTCGAAAAAACAAAAGTTGCTATTTTTAAAATCGTTTCAAAGAACGTAAGGAAAGCGAACGATTACACTAATGAAGTTATTCGAAAGTTGTTTAGGGTGTACATTATTCTATTAATTTGAATGAAGAAAACCTATTGCGTGACAAGTCTAAAAATGGCAACACTCGTATCATAATTCATTGTTTACCAGAAGCGATTCAAGCGTATTTTCCATGACGTAACAGCGCGAGCGAGGCTTCAGCGAGAGAGCCTCTAGCCCGTGAATAAGACATTAATCGCGACTCGACGAGAAGGTGAAGGCAGTTTGTAACTGACGGTAAATGCGGACCATCGGGGGTTGCCGGGAGCTGGGGTGAATCGCGTGTCATTTGTCCGTTGATCTCCCGCGGCTGGGAACCGGCCAGGTGCCAGCTACTTCCACCGCAGCGGTGCTTTTCTTACGCGCAAAAATTAGCACCACCCTCTAGACCATTCACCGCCTTTCGCCCCCCCGTTCCGCCACGAACCACGATTCTCACCGGCTAGCCGCGACCGGAGAGGCACGAGATGAGAATTAGGCGGGTCGTTTATCGAAGGAGGATCATTTAGAACAGAATGCCGTGAACCTGGCCATTATACCAGGGATCATTATATCTTGAAGGATTTGGTTAACGTGCTCCATCATTTGGGATTTCCAGCTTCTCCCATTGTAAGAAGACTTCGCTATTTAATAAAGTTGGGTAGATAATGATTAATATCACGACGATCCCTTGATATACTCGAATTAATACCGAGGGTTACTCTTACCGAAACAGAGAAGTATTTCCAAAGATATTCGTAGCGACGTTCGGTACCAAGGTTCATTATCGAACTTCGAATATGCACGTTCTTACGTTCATTCCATAGTTTGAAACCGGCGGAAACTGAATGCATCCCGAATGTAATTACTGCGATATTCAATGAACGACGGCTGTATTGTTAAAGAAATTTAAGCATTGAAACCGTCTCGCATTCCGAAGAATATATTGACCCCGATCCCGTCCTGGAAGTTCAGCCATACTTCCCAGTGGTTGTGCTCCACGAACGCGAGATTACACGCAATTCTGTCAGTCAATTAAACTCGACGGTGGCGGCTCGCCTGTCGCACACAAGTGCACAACCCGGGTCCACGCAATAATCGTTACAAAAGAGAGCCGGGGCCGCGTAGCGGTGCCGTTGTTTCGCAACTAAACTCATAATCTCACATAAGCTCGCAAGCTGGGCTTTCCCATGCGAGTTTTCCCGTGCGCGTGTTGTGCAAGGAGCCATCCGGCAGCTTTATGCGGAATTCAGACGAGCGTCGTCACGAATCTAATAACAGGGTCATTAATGAAATCGACGTCCGCGTACATTCCTCGCGTTCGATCGTCCTCTCCCGTGATTCTCTGTTGCGCGCAGAGACTGTAGTCGTGTTCTCAACGAGAACATCATGCTCCGATACACCCGCCGTCGGTACAGTTCGATAAGGATGACGAATACTTGGAAGTTTAATTTAATTCGGGCCGGCTGCGCGCGTTTCACGAACTTTCGAGGGTCTAATCGCCTGGAAGAAGTATAGAAGACGTTGTAATACCTTATTCCCCGTACGAATCTCGTACTGCACATTGATCCTCTTAAATTCCCATGTAGTCTCCGTCTTGGCATTAGCATATTATCTCCCCCCGCGACCTGCACCGCCCTGTTCTCCGGTTCCTCTCGCCCGCCCCCTCA